TCAGGTTCCAACCTCAATATGCATAGAAGATTCAGCCATTACCATTGGGAATTAGTCTTTTATAAAATCCACTACAGACTTAGTCTTTGAGAACTTCACTCAACCTGTTAAGAGATCCCATCAGGACACAGCTTTTTCCATAGCAGTGGCTGACAAAAGTTTGTTTCCTTCCTCCTTTCTATCTGTCCAATTCACTATGTTGAGCACTTTTGCAGATCAGAAGCCTGAGGTGTTTATCAGGTGTTTTCTTAATCTCCCCTACCCATCTTGTACTTCCACCCTTTCCTAAGAGGGTTCAGTGTGGACTCAACTGTTTAATCTGTACGTTTAGACAGAAATCCCAGCTTTCTGTCTGTCTTACTCCCCAGATTATTGTAAAAGTTTTTGTTAGGTTTTCTCTAATTGTCTTAGATGTCTCTCAGGACATGTGTTACTGATCTGGGTGGCAAGTTCTCTTTTTCTGAGATAGAAGAAAAAATACCATCAAACAGCATGTTCAGTACCTTCACTGTGCTACACACCTTCATCTTTTGTGTTCCTCTCACTCAGCTAATTTATTTTTCTCCTGTATACCAGGTGAATTTTGATGGTGAAAGATTTTATACACCCAAGTTCCCACAAAACATGTATTTTTTGCCCTTTTTGGGCAAACTTTGCACCCCCAGATACAAAAGCCACCCAGAGAAGATGGAAAGCACCAGTGCTGCTTCCTGAGGTGACTCCTGTGCTCTCTCTGAGAGGTCACACCTAAATAGTTCAGGGACTAGGAGCCTTTGAGTTTATTCCCATGACTGGTAACCATTATGGTGAGCACTGGGATACAAAAGGCTTTATGAAAAATTGCCATGATGACTGAAAAGCTTCCTCAGAGTCACCTGCCTCCCCAGTGTGAGAATGGCAGAGCAGGTGCCAGCCAGCCCATGCTTCCCTCCTGTGCACTTGGTTTAGGTGGGAAGGCAGGACAGGGCCTGGGCTCAACCTCCCCATGAGTCAGAAAGCAAAGGTGAGTGGGGGTGCAGTGAAGAGGAGATATTCCAGAAAAGGGCTTTTCCAAAATCTTCCTGCGGGAAGAGCTGAATCAAGGACTGAATCATGATTTGATGGGCCTCTGCTCTGGGTGCACCAGAGCTGTTTCTTGCACAGACATTGTAAAACTCTGCTCCAGCCTGAGAAGCATCACTAAGGAATTATTTGCTCCAGACAGCACTTGATTGGTTTATATTTTTCTCTGAAGTCTGCACTGTACATGTAAGAGATAAGCATGGCATGTCACAGGCACTTCTTAAGTGGCCATGGACATAAAAACTTCCCTCTGACAGAGGCTGGTTCTGAGCTAAGACTTGACAGAGGGGGACAGGGGACACGTGGATCCCAAGTTTACTTTGGGTTAGCCTTGACTTGGTGTTGGCTACACAGCTCTGAGTGTGTGTGTGTTTTTGCAGTGGAAGGTTTGATTCCCTGAGCAGGAGGGCTTTGACTTTGGGGCAGCCTTGGCAGCCCCTCACTGTGCAGTGGAATTAAGGAAAAAAACATCCACTAACATTTTCTTAAATACTGGTGTGTTTGTTTTTTTCCAGGCTACTGGAAATGATAAAGTCCAGCAGCCACGGATTTGGTGCCAATTCAGAAGATTTGCTCTGCAGGACAAGCCTGTTGCCTCACTGTGGTGTGACACTTGCGTCAGGGTGTTCCAGCCCTCAGCCCTGGTTGTGCAAACCCACCAGGTTGCCTCATGCTCACCTGAGGCTGCACTGAAACCACCATAACACAACGTCACTGTGTGGGGACACCACGCTGGGCTGTGATCTCTGGGTGAGAACCTGAACTACATTTCTGGCTACATGTCTTCAAGTTTTTAATCTCTCAGAAAAATGTTATTGCTAAAAAAAAACCACCACAGAGCAGGAAGGAAGAGACATTAACTTTTCCTTCTCTCTGGTGTCCACATTTCC